TTTTTTTTTTTTTTTTTTAAAAAAAAAAAATTTATAATCTCTAACTAGATTTGTATTATAAAAATTCATATTAATAATCATCATGACTACAATGTTTAACGTTGAAGAATTAAAAAGAAAACTTGACTCGGATGAATCCCGTCCACAAAAACTTTTAAAAAGGTCTTCCACTGATCAACTTTCAGATTTTTTTTCTTCGGACCAATTTTCTCTTCCTTATGAGGACGACGACGAAGACGATTTCGACGACGAAATGAATGATAATTTAAACGAAGAATCTTTGAATCAACAACAGGAACAACAACTTGACTATCAACAACAGAAAGAACAAGACCAAAAACAACAACAACCTACTACTCCTCAGAGGAAGAAACCTGGTCGTAAACCGAATCCTGCTTCCCCTGCTTTACGTAAAGCTCAAAATCGAGCCGCTCAAAGAGCTTTCAGAGAACGAAAAGAACGTCACCTACGGGAACTTGAAAATACTATCAAAACTTTACGTGAAAGTCAATACGAATCATTAATAAAATGTCAAAGAGAATATTCTCATTTTCGCTCGTTGATCGAGCAACTTGAAGCTGAAAATAGCTTTTTAAAAGAAATCGCATTCACTTTTGAATGCGCATTAAATAATTTAAATGGTAATAATGAAGCAACGACAAAAATGAAGAATGCCGTATCTCAATCTATTCCTCGTACTTCAGTTCCTTCTTCATTACCTTTGAATGGTAATGGTGTTAGTATGATTGGATCTTCTATTACTACTTCACCTTTCGGTTTAAGTGCTATGCAAATGAGACAAGCAAATTTACCTTCACAATTATCAGTACCGACAGCTCAACAAATTCAAAATAATTATCTTGGTTTACTTCAATCTCAAGCTGGACGTTTAAGTATTACATCACCTGTTACAAATAATATTGTAATGTCACCTAATGGATCTGGTAATATATCTACTTCATCTGTTAGTGCATCTAGTTCACCTCAAACACCAGAATCAATCATTCCAGGATCAATCTCACCGTCAAGTACTTTTTTTGCTGAAGAATTTGCTCGTGAAATTACACTGGCTGATATGAAACCTTTTGTTTCACAAAATTCTAATTTACAATTTAGTCATGAACCATCATCATTATTTACTGATGGAAATACAAATATTTATAATACTACAAATTCATCAATATTTAAAACAGATATTGGTGTATTATCATCATCATCACAAACAATGACAAAATCGAATTCTACTTCTTCAACAATTTCTTCTGTATCATCAAATAACAATATTTCTGTAAATAATAATAATAATATATCATATGTGGCAGAAGCAGCTTCAATGATTGATAATGATGCAGATTATTTTTCAGCTTATTTTTTGAATGATGAATTAGTACTTGATGATGAATCGAAACAATTGTTTTCAAATTTTGATATTAATACAACTGAACAAAATATAATGAAAAAAAAATTAACGAAAGATCAAGAACAACTTATAAGACTGAGTAAGAAAGTAGGACAATCAATTCTTACACCTGTTCCTCCAACAATGAGGTATCCACTCACAACTCATCAAAAGTATTATTTGACATTAGAACATGATCCTCGTATTGACATGATACCATGTCTTCACTTACGATCTCGTATGATTCAATATCGGGATCAATATGATCTTTATGAATTAGTAGAGTTATTAATTAACAAAGCAAAATGTCACGGGGATCCTCATGATCCTGATAGTTGGGAATTACCAGAAGAATTCTTTGAACGTTATGGAGTTTTAGTATTTCAACAATGTCGCATAAAAAGTGATTTATATAAGAAATATGGTGTATTACCAAAAGACTTTGATAATTTTTATAAGAAAGGTGATTAGTCTTTAAGGATTTTTAATATAGTTTATGACTTTATATTCCTGACATCATCTTTTTTATTCAATTAGGTTTACATATGATATCATGAATTATTCAATTTTTTATGTTTCTTTGTAGGAATTTGACAATATCTCACACAATATTATTATTTTTTTTTTCCTTTTATTCTTGGATTGAGAGAACAATTCCATCATACATAATAAAAATGAATAGATGATGTCTAAAAAAAAAAAAAATTTGTATTGTATACAAAATATTTACAATAACTATTAATTTAATGG